TTCTACTTCTTATACTTTTACTTCTTATACTTATTCTACCTCTACTTTTACTTCTTCTACTTCTTCTACCTCTACTTCTTATACTTCTTCTACCTCTACTTCTTATACTTGTACTTCTTCTACCTCTACTTCTTATACTTGTACTTCTTCTACTTCTACTTCTTCTTCTATGGAGAAAATGGTGTTGGCTGCTTCTTGTAGTTGCTAGTTAGACCTGTTATGACTCAATCCTGATCAGTATATAACTCAGATTTTGAGAAAATTGAAGGCTTTCAGGTGCCTTATAGTACGGAGAATACGGTAATTATAAATCAGTATAAAGTCGGACCTAAACAGCCCCAATCTGAGATGAAACAAGACCACAACCGGGTCAGACCTTAGTCTAAAGCACTAAAGTCCAGAGGAGGACGGGTTCTGATCCGAGTGGACCGGTTCTGACCTTCTGCAGGATCAGGTTCAGGTACACGCTCTCCTCCCAGTCGATGTCGGGGTCTCCCAGGCCAGGGAGCTTCTTGGAGTCCCTCCGGTAGACCTCCACCTCCACCTGAAACAGAACCAGGATCAGAACCGAGATCGGAACCGGAACCAGGATCAGAACTGGGATCAGAACCAGAGACATAATCAGAGACATAATCAGAGACAGAGCCATAACCGGAGACAAAACCAGAACCAGGATCAAAATCGGGATCAGAGACAGAACCAGGATCAGAACCGGTACCAGAAACATAATAAGAGACAGAGCCATAACCGGAGAGAGAACCGGAGACATAATCAGAACCAGAGACAGAACCGGAACTGGAACCAAAACCAGAGCCAGAATCAGAACCAGAACTAGAGCTAGAACCAGAGACAGAGACAGAACCAGAGAACGAAGCAGAATCAGAACCAGAACCAAAACCAGAACCAGAGACAGAACCAACCAGAGCCAGAATCAGAACCAGAGAAAGAACCAGAACCAGAGACAGAACTGGAACCAGAACCAGAGACAGAGACAGAACCAAAGACAGAGACAGAACCAGAGACAGAATCAGAACCGGAACCAGAGAAAGAGCCAGAAACCGGAGAAAGAACCAGAACCAGAGATAGAAACCGGAACTGGAACCAGAACCGGAGACCGAACCAGAACCAGAACCTCCCTGATCATCTCTGTCCTGCTGTTTTGAGGAAGTGGAACAGGAGCGCGATTTGATGACTCGACTTTCCCGACAAGGAAGTGGAAAATGTCTCCATTTGGACTTTTACAGAAATGGAAACCTGCCGGCAAACCGAACAAGAGGAGAGGGAACCTGTAAATGTCTGGATGTTTTCAGGCTTTTTAAAGGCAGCAGCGAGAACCAAACTGGATCCTTGTTTCAGAACCAGAACCAGAACCAGAGATCTTAAATTACTTTTAGATTAGCGTAATGTAAATTAGATTTGAAAAAAATCAGAAAAATAGAGAAAAAATTACTAAAAATTAACATTAATTAAGGTAGTTCAAATATTTCTATACCGGCGGTTTTGTTTTTTAATGAGAAAAGCTGGTTAGCTTTGTGCTAGCTGCTATATATTGTGATGCTAACGTCTGATTTACCGTAACGAATCAGACTGGTTCTGTTATTTACTGAATTGGGGAACAGTTCTCCTCCACTACCTGATAAAAAATGCTGCTCTACCTATTAAACTTAGTTGTTTTTAAAAGATAAACTGTGTCCCTAAAACACCACGTCACGGACATTAGTGCGGGAAAATTAATAAAACGGCTGTTTATTAATTTTGGGAGTGAACGGAGTCGTCAGAACGCTGGTTTGTGTTTGTTAATAAAGTTTTGTTGACGTTTTCTTTAGCGTATATGCATCTGGTCGATGCTAACTCAACCCCAGAACGAACTGGAGCTTTTATTGTATGTAGTTTATAATCTGTTGCGCCTTATATACGGAAAATACGGTAATCTGGGAGTCTGAAAGCACTCAGCTTCCACAATGAAACAACCTGGACTCGGAGAGGCGGTAACCGAGGCAACCGGGGATGGAGGGGATGTGGGACTAGACACAAAAGGCGCTCGGAGAGCCAGCCTTCATGAGATGAGATTACAAAGACAAGAGGACACTCGAACTGCATGTGTACACAGACGCCTCGTTACAGGGAACATCTGGATTTAAAGGAG